CAAAAAACAACAACAAAAAACAACAACAAAACAACAACAACAACAACAACAACAACAACAACAACAACAACAACAACAACAACAACAACAACAACAACAACAACAACACCAACACCAACACCAACACCAACACCAGCACCAGCAGCAGCAGCAGCAGCAGCAACAACAACAACAACAACAACCACAACCACAACCATAACCACAACCCCAACCGCAACCGCAACCGCAACCGCAACCGCAACCGCAACCGCAACAACAACCACAACCACAACCGCAACAACAACGCCGCCGCCGCCGCCGACAACAACAACAACAAGAACGACAGCAATCTCAAGAACAAGCATTACAACTATCACTACCATTACGACCACTGCGACTACTACCACGACAAGAAGAACGGCGACGACGACGGCGACGACGACGATGACGAGGAGGGCGACGGCGGCGACGGCGGCGACGACGACTATTAACCGACCACTACTACTACTACTACTACTACGACTATTACTACTACTACTACTACTACTACTAGTAGGAGGCGCGCAATTAGTATCCGACAGTGGGTCCAAATGCACGACCCCGAACACATGCATCCTGAAAAATCGTGATCTTTGTAGCAGGGGAGGCCATTATCATACCTGGTGTCTCTGCAGCTACGAATCTACTTGCTACTATCAGTACGCTTGTCTCTGTATATATAGCCTCGCAGGTGGATTTGGGGAACGTCTTTGACATCCAGGAAGTTCGCGTTTCCACACGCACGCACTGCATGCACAGGCATGCATTTGTTCAAAGATGGTTTTTGGCTCTGGAATATAGCTTTACGGATTTGTTTGCTAGGAGTTTTGGACAGTACCTTAGCCCTGAATTTTCGAATGTCATCCATGAAAGCTTGCCAGCAGCTAGCAGCTGATTGGCGAGTGCTCTGACTCCCATACGGCCTATCGCGGCTACCCCAACCCCAGATCAATGACTCTTCACAGAAACCTGGTACGATCCAAGCGCCATCTTTTGTTGTTTTGGGAGAGGGGCCTGCGCCGTCTCTTAAACCCGAAATGCTGATCTCAAGGCCTTACAACTGCCAACGCTGATTCTCAGACCTCGCTGATCTCAGACCTTAGGGGTTTGGGGCTCAGGGTTCTCCAAAGGCTCCCTGGTGCTTGGTGTAGAATCCGGGAATGGGCTTTGTAGGGATTATATTGGTAGATTTGATGGGAGTCATGTGGGGTTTTATTGCGACTGCTGCCGGGATCCATTCCTTCAGGTAGCAGAGTTGAAATGATGACCCCCTGCCGTGCGGCCCTTCTGCCTTACGCGTCCAGTTTTTGCGCTGCACAGATCAGAAGCCTGTGACCTTCAACGCCGAACCACACAACATAAGCCCCACACCACGAACAAGCAGCAAACATGAATCCAGTTCTAACCCCATAGTAGCCTGCAAATTAACCCTAGAATCTACAGATCCTTGAGCCCTGGAACCTTAGGGTCCCGAGACGCAACCTTGCCTCAGGCTATGGCCCTTCTGGGTACTGATCTCGAAGGATCCATTCCCGAGCAAAGTCTCATCGTTCCTTGTGCTGGGAGGAAAGCATGGGGGGGAGCACAGGATATCATTGGGAGACATAGTAGGGTACATAGGATATAGGGGGATGTATAGGGATAAATGGAGAATCACCTGGAGAATCAGCGGGAAAATATCATGGAAACAGAGGCGGCAATTCTTGTTTCAGATTGTAGGGTTTTACGTTTATGGGGCATGAGATGTGCGGCCTGAGCCAGTAGAATAATGCAGAATCAAACGGACAATCAACTTGAACATGGATTTGAAACTAGGATTATATGAGCTACTGTCAATATCAGTCTTAGTAAGGGACCCTAGGGCTTCCTCTCCAAGTTTTAGTCTCCAATAAAGAATCCATGTCCACACGAATGTAGGAAATGTTGGTTGCAGCTCATATTCCAGGCTCGCAAAGCAACAAGGATTTTGGGGCTTAGGGTTTAGTTCAGGTTTTATTGAGATGTACGGACCATGCAAGGATTGTGGGATACCTTTTGGGGGGACAATTGGTGGGCTTTAGGTTTCAGGGTTACGGCAGAGATTTTGCCATGAGCACGGCTGCTCTTGTGTTTTCAGACGATTTCGGTTTCAGGCTGGTTGGGACGGTAGAGACAGGAAGCTGCCGCCCAAACCATGCCAGGGTCTGATCAGGTAGGCACCTGCAGTACCCAGGTGAGCTATAGTCTAAACTCCTAGAACACACCTTAATAACAACCATCATACTGCCTCATGGCTTATGGAATCCCCTACATAACCCCCGTAAAGGAGTGTAGACTAAAGCTCAGGTGAGCCCACACCTTATACGAGGATTTTTTGGAATACCTAACCTGTATAAGCAGGGGCCTATGAGTATGATTGAAGAAACTTTGCGGCAGTATGACCCCTTCCCCGTCATCCCAGCATAGCATGCCTAAGGCTGAAGGCCTCGCGGCGAATGGCCTGCGCCAAAATCCGGTGTCAGGCACCAGAAGGGGAACCTTGGCCTGGTGTTTGTCCTGAGATGCCCGGGTGCTCCCATAGTAGCTTCTTGCTTTTGGGGGATCAGGGGACTTAGTGAATGGGTTAATAATTAATGGGGAAACTTGGGTGCTTATGTGGGTTGCGGGCATTAGAAGTTTACAGGAGCCACGTGGGATGTGGTTAAAGAGTGTACTACATCCCAGGTTTGCTTGCAGAAGGCTGCAGGGATATTTCAGAGGGGAAGGGTCCGAAGTGCTCACTGTCCATCTGTCGTTCCGTGTACACCGCCCTCAAAAGGCACTAGTCAAAAAAAACTGACGGCCGGCGAAACCCAAACCCTATAGTCCGCCTTAAGTAGATACAATATGGCTTTGGGTATATTATGATAAGACCCCCATATACCCCTTATTCTATCTACCTGAGGGGAACTATAAATCCTAAACCCTTAACCCCAAGTCCTGTTGTGCTGTTACAGCCATGGAACTGCTCCAACTTGCAAGTGTAAAAGCCCAGAAGCTGAGTTCTTCCTTGACTCCGATAGACCCTAATGTAGACCCCTGATTGATCAAACCCCCTCCTTTTAAGGGCCTTCATATTAGGATGATCCCAATTATAATCCCTATTAAGGGCAGGGGTTTGTTAATCAGGGGTCTACAGGAATCAAAGAGTTTGAGCATTAGGACACCCTGGAAGTGCAGAGGAAGATGATCCTCCCAATTGCTGGCCCTGCGCTGAGTGTGGTATAGGAGTTTTCTTAGTCCGGGCGCTCGAAGAATTACTATGAGGTTTAGTATTTAGGATTCAGGGTCTTGGTTTTAGGGCTTGTATAACAAGGTGCACAAACCATTGCCCGGATGCTGAAGTAGAAAACTTGACATTCTAGCCGCTACTCGCGCACAAGTTGGTGCCACATTAACAACCTTCTGATGGCTCTTCGGTCCCACTAGGATCCCCCCGCAAGTTTGAAAAACCTCGAATTCGAGGTTCCAGCGTCCACACCTTCGCACAATCCCAAGGTCAAATTTAGGGTGAACCCAGCCCTAAATCGCATGGCCACAGCCTTGGCCAATTTCTTGCCGCCTTTAAAGAAGCTGAGGCAGGGGACGTTACGTCCGGGTCCAGTTGGAGCGACAAGACACCTGATCACTGTTGGAAAACTTTCTTGTTAGGGTCTATAGACCTTGTATAGGGTTAGTGTCCGCAGTTTCGACGGGGTTTTGAGCGGTGTTATCTTTTGTTTTTGGTTGCTTATGCCCTATACAATTTCTATTTATCCTGGGCTTGAGAGTTCAAGGTTCGAAGATGTCCCCTACAGAACCTTGAGTAAGGTCCCCCAATAACCAGGGAAAATGATCCGCATGTATCCCCTTGATCGCCTAGGGCCCTTGTACTTGTATTTGTTTGAGAAACTCCCAAACAGGCTTTTTGAGAAACTCTCAAACGGATTTATACAAGGCCTTCCATCAATCTAGGAAGTGTTCTTGTCATCAGCTTGATGGATTGCTACTTCTGCGAACACATGTTTCGTCATGCAGACACAATGGTTTAGAGTTGGGGATTGTAGGCTTTAGGGTTCAGTACCGGAACGTAATCACAAGTGCAGCGGTCGGATTTTGCGATCATGCAGGTCTGGAAGCAAGTTGTCTTGAACGGGCACAGACCTGTTTTCAAAGTTCACAAATCCTGCGTAAGCCCAACATGTGATTTTTTTGCGAATATCCTTGTCAGCCCCGTAAAATGTTTGTCATAAAGTGGAGAGTTTGAGAACGCCCAGTTTTATAGTGGTATATGATGTACTAGCGGGACGCCTTGTCAGGAGTGCCTTCAGCTTACACAGTTGGAGGTGCATCTGGGCTTGCATGAGACGTGGGATGTGGGACCAAAGGTTTTCACCCAGAGCCTTGCTGTTTCAATTTTTCCAGGTTCACGGAACCCAAGGAAGCCGTACCTTCATGCTTATATGGTGGTTTCCCGAAATAGGGGGGACCCTAATATGGACCACCCCAATACCGCCCCAAATTGTACCCCTATTTTTTGGGAAGCCCCCAATAAGGTATGGGCTGCATGGGATTTGAAACGCACGGGTGCACTTAGCGGATGAGGGCTGTCTCCTTGTTTTGTAAGGTTTGCTGGTTGTATCCCAACGTATGGTGTATCCTTCTGCGGTTAGTAAGGAATAAGGGAATATTCAATATTCGGGCTATATGTATAGGGATCATATTCCCCCTTTCCTACTAATCAATCACCAGAATGTTATTGAGTAGCCGAGCTATGCAAAGGCAAACTGACGTGAAGAAGACCAAGAAGCACTGGATGATCCGCGAAGCAGACTGAGTTTCAAACACTGTCAAGTGTCAGGGTTAAGGCTTGAGGAGCAGGCTATAGAACGGCTGCAGAATGAGGCGAAGAATATGCAGCGGAAGCCCACTCACGACCCTCCACACCTAGCGCCGCATTGTTAGGAAATCTCTTGCGTATTTCAAGGGTGGGGTAATAATTTCACGCAGCTTGGCGCATGTCCCGGGAAATCGACCTTGCAGAGGCTGAGTTCCTGAAATTAAAATCTTCTCGGGGGGTCAGTAACGAAACCTTATGGCGTATTTGGGCTTGAACCCTGACCCTTTGATGCAAGCGCGGCAAGACCGCAATTTGTAGGCACTTTTACCCAGCAGCATGACTGGACTGCGCCTGGCGCCACAAGTTGTGAATGTCCTGTTGGCTGCAATTGCAGAACGTCCGCTGCTCCGATGGAAAAAGTGCATCTACATGCTCGCGCTCATGTGAGAAGACGTTGTTCAGTTTTCATATCCTGTTGTGAAGCATGCATGTACTTCGTCAGCCCAGTAAGTTAAACCGACCCCGTCAGGCTAATCTGCGGAAGGACTTGGAGTTTCTCGCAAAGTCAGGGGACCTTCCAACGAAGAATATGGCTCCGGTATGCGAAGCCGGTAGCCGCCTAAATTCATTGCTGCTTACACAAAATTAGAAGTACCTTTAAACAGATAGGGGCTATATAAGGATAATGGAAAAATGGAAGCTACTATTTAGGGTTTGGGGTTTAGGGCTTCGCACAATTAGGGGCACCACTCCCAGTCAGGACTATAGTGATTTGGGGTTTGTTTTGGGGTCCCCCAGCTTAGGGCAACTACCGAAAAATGAGAAAATTGAGCGGAATTGGTTATGCGTTTGATGCTTGACAGTCCCTCCCTCCCAAGCGCACCTGTTGTGCTGAGATCAGGAAGCACAACAGGGACATGCAAGTACTCAGGTAAGCCCACCCTTCTAGTCATCAGCTATCACCTCATCCCCTAAGCAGTTGTTAGTTCTAGCTACCCTTGACTTCCAAGCTCGATTGTTCAGGCCGTTTCTTTCGCTGACCCACAGCGCGGGCATCTGAACCAGCTGTTGCTTCAGGACCTCCAATGGACCACAATCAAGCTTCACCTTGCAGACGTTAAGTTAAGGGCGAGTCGTGAATTTTGGTACCATAGCAAGGGCATGTATTGGGGGTTCTACATAAGGATAGTGCGTACTAGGGATCCGCAAGCCTGTTACTCTGGTTCAAAGACTAGTCGGGTCCGCGCATTTTGAAGATGCAGGACTATGAACTCAGGATGTTCGCATGACTCAGAGAGATACAGCCTCCTTCCTCACCTGGAGTAGAGGCAAAGACAACTCTAATCCCTAAACCCTCAAGTATGTAGAGCCTACACCCTAGATCCTAGGCAATGTATCCGCTTTGGATGACTACGATCTGTTTTTGGAAGCACCCAGTGGAAGGTGAGGTCCATTGGGTCCTCTAGCTTGGGGTAGGATGGATCTCAGGCTGGCCCATGCCGGCGCCTCCACAATGAGGCTTTGTCAGCAGAAGTCGATACACTCCAACGAGACAGCGTTGCGTAGACCTCTCTGGTAAAGGAGTCTTGAAACCTGCAAGTTCTATGAATGTCCCTGCTGCATTATTGAGGATACTTTTGGGGGGGGTTACAGGAAGCAAACATCAGACCTCAAAAACCTCCAAGTCCTAAACTCCCCGAAGCTCGTGTCTGAAGCCAGCAAAAAGGTTTCATGGGATGCAAGTGGCCATGGCAAAGAGCTAATCATCCTACTATCAATATTAATTGTAATATTGTCTTTAATATTCACATTATTTTCATTAATATTACTAAGGATATTTATACATATTAATATTAATATTACTTACAATTCCCCCTTCCTTTCAGTGCTTTGCCAGACACATCTCATGAAGCATCCCTGACATGTAAATTTCTCAAGCTAGGGGGTTGCCAAACCTGCGACCTCCGAGATAGGAAACCAGATTTGGAGAGACCCAAACCCCACAAGATCCTTGGAGAGCCTTGCAAGCAACAAAATGTTGGGAAAAGCATTTGCGTAAACCTAGGCCCCGAAGGAACGGGAACCCCAAACGTAGAGCATATGCGCTGCTCCTCTGAGATCCGTTGAGACTGCGGTGCAGTCTGCCCTGGATTGTTTCACTCGTTTTAGCACCATTTTTGGATGCAGTTGGAAGTATAGGATAAACATCACAGCTTGTGACTTCTCGGGAGCACTAATCATGGCGTGATACTACTTACTGCAAGTTCTTGAGAATGACAGTGATGTTTATGTTCACCTTTCTTTGTCGGCGAGGTAGGGCCGCTTCCTTCAGGACTCCAAGTTTAGCTGTCCCCTGCACCCTCAACACCCGGAACAAGCAGTAAGACTCAAGCTAGGGACTTGGTAGTGATGGTGCCAACATGTTTCAAGTGTTTAGCGTTTAAGAACTGAAATGATTGATTACAAAATTTATGTATGCGAAGGCATGCTGTTCCCAACAAGTTGCCATTTACTCAGCACCAGCTTAAGAGGTGTTGTTTTAGCGCATCCGCGTAAGTGAGAGTTTCCGAAACACTGGGCTGTGTGCTTTTCAAGGCTCATCGTGCCTGCAAGTGGGCTAGCTCTCTTGAGGCGTGGGGCCAATAAATCTCCTCACTTGCTTTGGCACCACAAGTTTCGGAAGCTTGTGTTAAGTTGCTGGCTCGCAGCTCAGCAACAGACGCTCCATTGGCATCAAAAATGATTGGGCACTAGCAGCATGGCTTCTTCATGCTGAGCAACCCAGAACCTACTAAATCGCCCGGCTCTGCAAGAAATGTCATCAAGCATACCCCACACACAAGGATTCGTGTGTACAGAACGCACAGAGGGAACCTTATCCACTCTCCTGAATTTCCCAAGTGAAGTAGGATGTGCAAGTGTGGGGAAAGAGGCCACGGAGCTCTTGAACTCGTTCTGCAGCTGCTGGATCAACCTAGGAAGTGAAGGGTCCACATCTGACATTAGGCCCTGCGGGCCAAGCCCGTGAATCGCTCTTCTGGTCTGAAGCTAGACATATTGGATTGGATCCATCCTATCAAGGAGGACATGAATGGACCCTAAACCCTGAGCCCTGGAGTCTTGAATCCCACCTGACTTCAGCCCTGCCGACTCTTCAATCCTTGGACTGACGATTGATTAAATCGAAGCAGGTGCACCCTGAGCCCTTTTTCCTTCTGGCCTGAAGCCCGAAAAAACCTAAATCCCAAACCCCAAGCGCAAGCGCTAAGCCCTAACTCCCAAAACCCTGATCTCTAATCCCTCAGCCCTAAAGGGTCCACTGGCAGTAGCCCATGGCGCCTTTAGACACTTCTCTGGCGCTGCCGCCAGAGCTGAACAGAGACGCATCCCGGACCACGGACCACACGGAGTGCCCGCGATGGTCCAGGTTTGAGATCTTGGGATGGTGGGATATATGAGCCATAGTGGAAATTCCTTAAAGGGGGTTTGACAGGGGATTATATCTGGGACTACTATAGGGGTTACCAAGGGGATACTAGGACTTTAGACTATAGCTCATATTAGGATCCGAGCCGTAAGGGTTCTCCAGATTCTGATGAGCAGAGGTTGGTGGGCATGTGCCCTGCCAAGCCTAGTGCATTGATTTCGACTGAGTTATCAACTTTCACTCCGCGACAGAAGCATTTTCCAGTATCCCGATATAACCTCAATGTATTACTGATATAACCCTAATATAACCCCAATGTAACCCTAATATAACCCCAATAGAACCCTAACATAACCCCAATATAACCCCAATATATGATGCCAGTGAATGCCGTGAAGCTGAAAAACAGACTCTTCTCTGAGCTGATCAAGCTTAAAAACACGAAAGCCCGGAACATTTTGCTAACTTGCCTACATGGGGTTTCCCAATATTAGGGATACCATTTTGGGGTCCCAATCTGAGTATTATAATTCTTTGGGGTCTATATTGGGGCTCCACTATTTTGGGAAAAGACCACATCCCTGCACTATACAGGGGGGTTCCATGCAAGGGCTCAACACAGACCTTTAATGAGGACCCCGGGTGGGCGAATGTTTTGGAAAACATAATCCTCATAAACCACGATATAATCCCGGTTCCGCTGTCATGTTTCAATTCCTGTTCCATCTCATTCTTGTGGCAACCCCCCCCCCCCCCCCCCCAGTTTCTGTAGAAATTGGAGGAAGATGGCTAATGGGAGGCCCTGTCTGTTACAGGTACTCCTTCGAGGACGATGACCTGCTGTCCTTAGAGGCCGGCTAGAACTCTTGTTACGATTATTCTTCTTATCATAACTTCCTATTCGTATTCTTATTACAACTACATTTATTTTTGTTTCTATTATTAACATTACTACTAACACTATCTTTACTATTTTTATTACTACTACTTTTTTTTCTGTCATTACTATTGTACCATTATTACTATTTGAGTTCCCAATGGTTAGTTTCCAAAATTAGGGTCCCATTTTGGTACCCTTAATTACAAGGTGCCGTAATATAATCTATAGCCCAAAGAGGCCCATAGTTTTGAGAAGAACCCCGGTCCCCCTTGTAGGGCTTCTCAAAAACCATGGCCCCGGTTTGGGTATCCCATAAAACCTAGATCCTATCATCTTGGCCTAATAGTTGTCATGCTCATGAAATATTTAAGTGTTGAGAAGGCAGCCACTTGCTCGCAGTTTAGGGATTGCAGGAACTGAGGTTGCAATGGTTAGGGCGTACATATCTCCAAGACGTCGTTTGAAGTGAATTTCCTTCGAGCTCATTGCTGTTTTTCATCCAGTGCCAGGTTTCGGTTGCAAACACACCTGACAGGGGCATGGCACCATGTTGTAGTGTCTACCCAGCTGTCTAGATCCGCCTCTCGCCCCAGTTACCCGCAGCTTTATCAGTCATACTTTAGATGAACCCCCCACCCTGTAAT